CTCAATGCACGTCTGCTTTCTCTTTCTTTCACAAGATCGCCTATTCTTAATCCAATCACCAACATTTTTTTTTCGAAATAATAGGATTATGTAGCGATAAGGTGGAGACTATATGTAGAATTTCTACATTATTTGGACTTTTATTTCTTTCATCAAATATGCATCAAAAAAACCAACCTCTGAGACGTAGGTATCCAACATTGTTGTCTTCCCATGTCGACAGCAAGCTAAAAAGCACCCAAAAAAAAAAAAGAGAATCAACGTTGAAACCTTCGAAGATGAAGTGAGAATATCTGGAATGTGGTCCAACAAAAACAGAATTCACTAAAACGAAAAAAAAAATTAGAAATGAAAATATCAATAAAAAGAAAAATAAAGAGTATGATCGTGAGAGTACAGTTAGCATGGTTGTCGGCATGGCCGCAAGTATGAGTAGAAGCAAAGAATTAAAAATAAAAAAAGGAAAAAAAATAGCGTGAACAGTAAAATGAGATTGCTTTATTGTTGTATCTACAGTTACATCCTATTCACATTTTTAATAAAAGTTAGAAAAGTAGGTTAATACTTAATATTCATTAGCCAACACGTGTTAATGTCTTTTTAATTCTAACTTCCATTAAAATCAAATTCCTAATTCCATTAATTCTCACATCCACGTCATATGAACAACATACGTAAACAAAAGAATCCCCATTCGGTATGATCGTCACTATCATCAACGACAATAAGTATTCAAAGCATTTAACTTCTTGATTCTTCGTCGAATCCAACTTAAAATCTCAACATGCAATAAAACTTCCATGCTTTAATTTTGTATTCACGTGTTCAATCAAATCTTTATTGTTAGTATGCGAGATTATTGTATCGCCTGTTAGATAAACTAGTAACTAAAGTAAGTTACATACTCTTTTCTCGACGCGGATCAATGCCTTCTAAATTTTACCTTATAAATCTCGAAAAGTATACTATTATCATTACGATAACATATTCCATTAAAACCAAATTACTAACATAAATTAATTCTCTCTTAAGCATGTCTTATGAATAACATGAAAAAACAAAAACTATCAACAATGTAAGCAACGAAAATAACTATTTAACACATGTTAACATCTTGACTCTGCTTGAAATCCAACTTAAAAGCTCAACATGCCCCTAAAAAATTTCATGCTTCGACTTTAAAGCTTCAAGCGCTTTCAGATACGTTCATTTGTGTTTCTTTTCATCCCCATTTTGCTTCTTTATGATAACGTATTAACTAAAGTAGGCATATATTCATTAGCCAGCACGTGTCAATGTCTTTTAAATTTTAACATAAGATCCCAAAAAGTATATGATTGTCGATACAATAACACATTTTTTTTAAACCAGATTAATAATTCCACTAATTCTCACGTCCATGCGTGATACAAATAACATAATTAAACAACACAATCCCCGTTCAATATGATCATCACCGTTATCAACGAACATAAGTAGTTAAAATATGTTAATATCACGATTCTTCACCTATTCCAACTTAAAAGATTAACAGGCAATAAACCTTCCATGTTTTAACATCAAAACTTCACTTTGTATAAGGGATTTCTTTGAAAAGTGTAAGCGAAAACCTTGTCAAGTGGTCCTTAGTTATTTTGTCATGTTTAAATATTGTGTTGAAAAATAGCTAAAATAATATTGACAATTTATATTATTTTGAAGTACAAAAAGTAATGGACCCCAGTAACTACAAGCATTATAACTACGTGAGACCTATAATCTATTTATCTATAATACTTGGAAGGATTAAAGAGAAACTTTTGAATACCAATTTTACCTTTATACATTTATCTATATGCCAAATATATCCTTATTTAATTTTAATTTTAGTATAATTAATTAATAACATTAATTCAAATTATTCAACATGAAATTAAAAAAATCATTTTTTTCCATTTGTCAATAATTCCCTAATTAACCTTTTTTAATCTTATATTAATTTTTATTAACAACACTAATTCATATGTTGTTCAAGGAACTCAAAGGAATGTCTTAAATTCCTCTTTTGAGATTAAAAAAGAAAAACTTTTAATGTGATTAATAATTCAAAATCAAATTGAAATTGGATGCTATTTAAGGAGCTCAAAGGATGGCTTTAAATAACCAATTATAGATATTAAATAAGCATTATTTTAATTTAATAATAGCAATAACTCAATTTCTTAAACTTCAATTTCCACAATCATGAAACTGACATTCTAATCGAAGAACAACGATTCGTTTTAATTTTTTTTAAAGTTAATTAATAATACTAATTCAATTTATTCAATATGAAATTGAAAAATGGGTATTGTTTGAGGAAATCAAATGGTGGCCTTGAATTCCCAATTTGAGATTTTAAAAAAAAAAAAAAAATATATATATATATATATATATTTATTTATTTATTTATTTATTTATTTATTTTATTTTTTTGCATTAATTCAAAATGAATCAAAAAATGGATGTTGTTTAAGGAGCTAAAATGATGAAATGATGACCTTAAATAACCATTAATAGAAATTTAAAAAAATAATTATTTTAATTTAATTAATAGCATTCATTCAATTATCTTAAACTTTAACTTCCACAATCGTGAAACCGACATTCTAATTGACGAAGCACAATTCTTCTTTAATTTTGTTAATAATAAATTAATAACATTGATTCGATTTATTCAACATGAATTTAAAGAATCCCTTTTCTTTTCCATTTAATTCCCTAATTAATCTTTTTAATCTTAAATTAATTTTTATTAATTACATTAATTTGATTTAGTCAATACAAAATTGGAAAATGGGTTTTGTTTAAGGAACTCAAGAGATGATCTTTAATAAATTGTATTATTTCAAAATGAAATTGAAAAATGGATATTGTTTAAGAAGCTCAAATGATGGCCTTAAATAATCATTTATAGAAATGAAAAAAGACATTATTTTAATTTGATTAGTAGCATTAATTCAATTATCGTAAGCTTTAATTTTCACAATCATTAAACTGATGTTCTAATTAATGAACCACAATTCTTCGATGGAATGGTGATTAATCCAGCCACCAATGTCCATAAGCTTCTTGAATGCCATGTTTATATTAATTCTATTTACCCTCTAGATTTTTACATTCTAATCTTCACATGTATACATACGTTACTTTCTCATTTGATTTGGCATATTTATCAGATAATAATTTTGTTACATCAAAGTAAAAATTCTTTTTTTTTTTTCAAAATTTAATATAATTTGGTTTGTAATTTTATTCTGTGTCTTAAGGGTTCTTTGAGCCACATTTCTTTTCAAAAGATGTATTATACAATAGTATTATGATGGATACTATATGGTTGAAAAATAAAAAATAAAATGTTTTGAGTTTACATGTAATATTATTTTATTGAAAAATGTATGGTTGAAATATCATCAAATTACTGTTAAATAATGCATTTTGATAAAAAAAAAATGTAACTTAAACAAGGGCTTAATTTTTTAACATTATTCTTGAATTTGAAGGTTTATAATGTTGGTTGCAGTGATGATCAGTAGCTTGAGGAAGTAGAGCAAGGCTTGAAGGATGCAAAATTGACGATGTAAAGTGTAGTCATTATTTTTGTACATAATTTGCCCTACATTTTTATAGGTTTTGTAATTTCTCCCCCTGAAGGTAATATCAATAATATTGTCTAAACGTACAAAATTGAAGGATTACATCACGAAATAATAGAGAAAAATCGAAATGGGCTATATTGAGGTATGTGATTCTAAATTGCAAAGTTAAGTTATTAAATACAAAAAACTCTTGCCCTCTCCATAGAAAATTCAATAAACTTATAAATTTCATAAAAAATTCGAGAAATTATTAATTAAGACAATATTAATAAAAGTTCTAGTACTTCAAAAATATTAAATATGTCATTCATCCGATACATAAGGCATGCAAAGCACGTATTTACTACTAGTTTTGAATAAAAAAAGAGTGAACCCTAGTAATTACCATTGTTGCGAAATTTCCTAGGACAAAATATATTTGTACTAATTTAGTTTTGTATTCACTTGTTCACTCAAATCTTACTTGTTAGTATGAGATATTAGTCATTTTGATAAATATTAACTAAAGTAGGTTACATTTCTCAACGCAGGTCAATGTCTTCTAAATTTTATCTTATAGATCCCGAAAAGTATAAGATCGTCAATAGGATAACATATTCAATTAAATAAAATTAATAACATACATTAATTCTCTTGTGTGCATGTCTTACGAATAACATGATAAAATATAATAATTTCCTTTCAGTATGACCAACATTGTAAGTAATAAAAATAAATAGTTAATGTGTGTTAGCATCCTCCTATGCACGAATCCAATTTAAAATCTCAACATGCCATAAAAAATTTCATACTTCGACATGAAAACTTCAATTGCTTTCATACACAGAATTTAACGTTTGTTTTTCTTTTCCTTCTTATTTTCCTTGTGATAAAGTATTAACTAAAGTAAGTTATATATTCGTTAGCTAGCACAAGTTAGTATTTTTAGAATTTTAACTTAAGATCCCAAATAGTACATGATAGTCAAAATGAGAACACATTTTGTTAACCATATTATTCATAATTCCATTAATTCTCATATCCACTCATCATACGAATAACACAATTAAGCAAAACAATTCTCATTCAGTATGAACAATAATGTCATCAACCAAAATATATATCTAAAACATGGTAACATCCTGATTCTTCTTTGAATCTAACTTGAAAAGCTCAACATGCAATATAAATTTCATCCTTCGACCACAAAACTTACATTTCTACAAGGATGTTCTCATATTTATATATTGTTATTTAGAAAAATGGCTAAAATAAGAACGCAATAACTGTGGGACCTACAATTTATTTACTTTAAAATACAAAAAGCAATGGACCCCAATAGTTAAGCCGACTACAGACAGCAACCTCACAGAAGTCCTGCAAAATGACGTGGCAATTGCAGAATAAAAGTGAAACAAAAAAACAGACAAGGAAAAAAGCGGCGAACCCAGAATTCTCATTTGGAGCCCTAAAATTGCCACTGCAAGGACAAACTTCGGCAGCATGATCGACAAATCGCTGCTGTGAAATCGACCTCCTGCATCCTATCTTTGCTGTCCCTTGTCGTCGATTCAGAACCTTGGAACCATCTCTGCCTCCGAAGAAGACGTCTATCGACAGTAGCCGCACTCGTCTCCACCTCCGGCCACCGCAACCCAGTCGCAATCGCCTCAGTATAGTCCACCTCCTGCCAGCGCAGAAGGCTTGGATATCACTTTGTGTACTGACTGTATGTCATTTGTGTGTAGATGAAAACAACTCGTCGATTCTGAAGATTATCAACAGCCAGAACTCGGGGAAAACGAGTGAATGTGCAGAGTAATGTCTATAACTTGCTTTGCTTCTTCCTATTAACTGATCCCAGAATAATAGATATCTTTCTACTGGCTTTTCAAGCGGTTCACTACATTCAATTTCCGAAATTGAAGTGTGGAAGGAGGGAGCTTCCTTCTTCTTCTTCTTATTCTTCTTCTTCTTCTTCAATATTGTTGAAACATATTGTGCATTTTTAGTAGATTTAGAAGCATCAATCAATGACAAATGGAAATTTCTATAGTTAACCGAAGAGGAATTGGTGCATTATCAGTGTGTTGGGTAGTGTCGAACTAATATCTGACCTCGCTCGCCTTCGGGTAAGCTGAATTCTGTTTCCTCGTTTACTAATTTATTGTGTACATTAAGATGTTCTATTTAATGGATAGTGAATTGGTTGTGTAGAAGTAATTGTAGAAGAATGCAGGAGGCGATCGAATCTGATTTTGGTTGAGCTTGTTTAGATGTTGGGTAAAAGTTGTTGTGCTTGTTTAGTTGTTGGGATAGCGGTCGAATCTAATTTTTGTTCCATGATGAGAGGAAGGGACGTTGGTGTTTGTCACAGTTGTAGAAATACAAAACACTTTTTCGCGGACTGTCCAATAAAATGACGATGCCCATTGTGTGCACACGGGCTGCAAAAATGTTATGAAGTTGAAAGGGAGTAAAAAAAAGGGCGATTGTTCAAAACATGTAATGTTAACTGCGGGTATTTCTAGTGAGTCCTAAATGAAGAATCGAGCAGCGAATCGAGCACAAGTAATGAACTAGTGAATGTTGCAGCCAACGAGGAAGTCGAAGATTTGCCAAGCATGTTCAATAGTCTAGTTAGAATATTCGAGAAACGGGACATCAAAATTTCATTGAACGTGACATTCCAAAAGGGAAAGGAAAGTGCCAAAGCAAATGGAAAAGGGAAGGGTTGCGCTTCATGAGTACTAGGCAACATTGACTATTAGCAAACATGTTTTTGATTACCTTGAAACCTGGGATTGAATGTATGGAATTTTCCTTCTATTGAACTTTGTATTTGGCTTGATTTTCTACATTTTGTAGCTGCTGATGTATGAAGACTTTATTGAACTATGTATTTGGTCATTTTAATGATATTATCATTGTCTATGTATTACATGGGTATATTGGAAATTTGTTGTAGCACTTAACAGGTTGTAATAAGCAATGTTTTGTAATATGCAATGTTTTCTAGATTGAAAATGATCCTAAAGAAATCAAGCTAAAATTTTCTTACTCAACACAAATCAAATCCAACAATTGAAAATTACTTCATAATGCACCAATGCCCCTACTTTAGATTAATCTCAAAACATTGTAGAAAATCCTTTCTAATATCAAATCAATATAGCAAGGTACTTCTACCAATGGGAAACACTCCCATTAATTTACTACGGACTATAACCCGGGAACATTCATGCATGTTTACTTAAAGCTATACAAATGAAATACATCCCAACTCGGCATCCTCCAACATCACTATTGATATGGGATTCCCGCATTGTTGTGAAGTTGGAGCAAATTTGGGACATTGTTGGACGAATTTGCAATGTACATTGCACTCGAAAAATAGTCTGCACCGAGTACCTGAGAATGAAAGTAAAAACAAAACATGAGACGGTAGGAAACGTAGTACCATTATCCTCCAATTTCTAGATTTACAAAAAAAAAACCTGAAGAAAATTGTACGCCATTTGGCTCATTCCATTAACTGTGGCTTCCGAATATAGTATCTGCGAGTTAACAAAGTACGTCCCTGGAGGCAGAGAAAATTGGGTGAGCAAACACATGACAAAAGGGAAAACAACTAAGTTCCAATTAGAATTATTTAAACACTTGTTTACCTTGTGAATTGAATATAGCATTAGTAGACGACGATGTGATGAAATTAGATGCAGGTAATTGTTGTGTACACAGTTAACTTTCGATGTCGCCTTACGTCAAGTACCAACATAAACATAATTATAACTATGAAACAGAGAGTATGAAAAAAAAATATGTTTACTAACCAACAGAAGCTGTGAATACGAGAATGGTGTCGGTTGCGAATGTTGAAGTTGTTGCGATGGTTGGACGTCGAGTGCTATAAATTCCATACCACTATGCTTTTCTCTTGGTCTCCTTCCTTTGCCTGACTTCGAACTCGCCTGCACATATATGAACTTAAATCAGAGTTTGTGGTGGAGTTCAAATGCACTTGGATAGGTTAATAGAGAAAATACCTTTGCTTTCTTCATAGTCGACTCCAAGGGACCTTTTTTCCGTAGTTTTCTTGGAGGCCCCTTCCTGTTCGACAACTTAGGATCTAGTATGCTCACACAAGCGATATTTTGCGAAGTAGTACATTGTGTTGCCAAATGAACAGATTGCTGGATCAGGGAATTACTACCACAACTCGACCTTGTAGTCCTCAGTTCCGTGGCTTGGGATTTTATCCAATCCATTATCGCCCGTGCTCGCCCTTCATTATTTGAAGCGAGGTCCACCACCTTTGAAAAAGCTAGGCACATATAAACATATCTTAATTGTTCAAGCGTACTGACCAACCCTGCATAGTTCACTGGTACACTCGTGTGTGCTCTACTGACATCTCTCCTCCATCACCGTAATATATACTTCTCTGGTATTGATGTTAAGTCATTACGGTCGAATATTGTGATCGCATGCCTGCGAATAATTCTTCGAAATTCGAACAAGTGGCAACTGCACGTCACTTCACATGTGTCTTTCAGAAATGAGACGAAAAATGTTTTCTTCTTCCTACCCTCGTGGTATACTACAAACTCTCGAACCTCGTACTTCATCCCATTTGGTCACTTTGCTTCTGAAGTAACATCGCAATACATCTTTCCTATAAACTCATCTTGAACATCCTTGAACTTTGAAATAGTGTACACTACCTAAAATTGTTACTCCATCTCAAAACTTGTCGCGCACGGTACCATTTGTGAGAACGATTTGAAATTAGCCTGGAACTCTTTCTCAACCTTACTCCTTAGGGCTCTGTCGTACTGTTCAACAAACTGCTTCAACGAGGTCTTCGAATGGACATATCTATCGAAGAATATATTCATACTCTCACTTCGTTGTGTTGTGGACATCCCTGCCCAGAATGTCATTTTCAGAAAGCAAGGTACCCAACGACCTCGATTTTCGTAAAGTCCCGATAACCACTCATTGTCAAGCAGGTCAAACTCATCAATCATTGCTTTCCAACCGTTTTTTAATTCATCAACAGCCTGCGAATCGTATACCAATCCATGTATAGTGGGAAATACTGAACTTTTGCTAACATGGTACCCAAACTTCTCTGGCAGTTTCTTCATAATGTGACACAAACATCATCTATGTTTAGAATTTGGAAAAAAAAAATCAATTGCATTTTGCATGGCTCTGTCTTAATCGGTAATAATTCCGTGGGAAGGTCGAACCTGCATGCATTGAAGCCATGTCCTAAATAACCACACAAATGTACTTGTATTCTCATTTCACAACAGCCCACAACAAAGCAATGTTGATTATCCGTGATGATTCACACCAATAAAAGGTGCGAACGGCACGTCATATTTATTCGTCAGATATGTGGTATCAAAAGTGACAACATCACCAAACTCCTTGTATGCTTGCCTACATTTGTTATCTGTCCAAAATACATTCTTCAACCGAGACTCATTGTCTAAATCCATAGTGAAGTAAAATCCTGAGCAACTTGCTTGCATCTATGAAAAGTAGGCTTGTAATGCTATTGCATCTCCATCTCCAAGTCATAACCGTCTCACTTGTTCAATATAGTTTCGACAATCTTTTTCAACGCAAGTCATGTTCTCATACCCACCTGCTTCCACAACCACAGAGTTGAAACTTTTGTGTAGTGGAATTCCCGCTATGTCATTCAATTCAAGCTTCTGTTTTACATTTGCACTCAATTCTCAGTTACACCGATACGAACTAGACTTGGAAGGACTTGTCTTATGGTTGTGCTGGAGGTGGACGGTGTTAATTCTCCATATTCCATGACAATCAGTCGATGCAGATATCCTCGCGTTACAATCTATCTGACTTGTTGGTTGCGGTTTCAAAGCAATGTTTGTATTACTGTTTCTTCGACCTTCACAGCTACATGTAAACGTCACATATCTAACGACTCCGTCATCCCCCTTTTTCAAATTTCGTTTCCTCACTGGAAAACCTACTACATAAGCATATCGTTTGTAAAAATCAAACAACTCATTTTCATTCATAAAAGTCATACCCACCTCAGGCACAATCTTTCCATCACCTCCTAATGTTTCGTTGTCCACAACATTGATATTGTCTGACACGTCTTCTTCGACAGATTGGACAAATTCATTTTCATTCATAGCTTTCATAATTTTCACGTCCTACGACCAAGTAAAAGGTAACATCCAGCAATATGAAAACCAATAACAGCGTAATAATTAGATGGAAATGGCCACATTGCAGCAAACATGAAAGCGGAGCGATTTTTATTAACCCAAACAACAAACAGTATATGACTACCTTAACATCTATTTGAAAAACTAGAAATTGGTACACTGTATCAACTTCAATCAATTCATTCGGAGAAAAACCTCCATTCTTGGTTTATCAATTTTAATCAAAATTGTAACCCTCATTTTTCGAGTTGGTTTCAAACTTGGTTTCAGTATCATGGACTTGAAGAACAAATTTTACCCAGTCTAGTTCTTCAAGGATATGAATACTTCAAAAGAGAGGCAAAATCTTTTCTCAAGCCTCAAGAAAATCTTTTGTTTCAATTTGCTTTCAATATGAAAGTTTCATGGATTTTCTGTTGGGATTTCTTCCATTATGAAAATCTTCAAGATTTGTTCTCAACTCAAAAAATTACAAGAAGATTCAAGATCAAATGGTGGGCAAAATTCAAAGAAACAAACTGTTGTCCAAAAGCAGTCCAATCATGGATACAAGAACAAAGAAATTTAGGTGTACCTAAATTTTCAAAGAAAGAACAAGAAGAACAAGCTGATTTTTTGACTGAAAAACAAAGAATCATTGCAATGTTATCAAGATGTAAAGATCCCAAAGAATTATTAGAAATTTATGATCAAATTTCTAAACAAGGATCTTCAAAAACAAACGAATCTGATCAAGAAGAAGAATCTCAATATTTCCAAGAGACTGACAATGGTGATGACTTAGTTGATCTAGGTGATGACTATGCGGAGTTTCTTGCTCAAGAAAAAGCTGCAAAAGCTCAAAAGAAAGCTTCAAAGAAAACTTCAAAATGACTATATGACCCAGTTTTTTTGATGAATTGAGATATTCAAGGGTCTATCAAGTAAGAGAAATTCTCCTCAACCTATGTCCAATTCAAAATCGGTGGTGTTACATTTGTCAAGATTCCCATCAACTTTGTGTCAGACATCAATATCTACTTTAATAAAGAAAAAGATTATCTTTATTAAAGGAAGTCAAAAATTGGAAATTCTTGACTAAAGTTTATCCATTTGTCAATAATTCCCTAATTAACCTTTTTTAATCTTATATTAATTTTTATTAACAACACTAATTCATATGTTGTTCAAGGAACTCAAAGGAATGTCTTAAATTCCTCTTTTGAGATTAAAAAAGAAAAACTTTTAATGTGATTAATTCTTGACTAAAGTTTATACTGTTTTTCAAGATGCTCAATTATTTTGTCGTCCACTTCTCTGTTCAAGATTCTTTCTTTCAAATGAAAGAAATTTCAAGTCCGGACTACACTATAAAAAGAGTTCAAGATTTCATTTCAAAGCAGAGCGAATTCAACAAGAAGAAGTTTTACTTTTCTTTGTAATTTGTTCTCTCAAATACATCTCAATTTTCATTGTAATATTTAAATCTTCTTCAATCATCAATAAAAGTATCTATTTTCATAAATTTCTGTTCTTCTATTTCATTTCCTACCCCCTGGGTCTTTTATGGTATCAGAGCCATAAGTGAACAAGTGAGATTAGTTTAATCTTACACTGTAGGCACTGTTCAATAGGTTCAAATTGGTTTGAATTCCTGGATGTCTGCTGAATAGACGTTGGTCAGCCCTGTAGACGTTGGTCAGCCGTGTTAGGTGGTCCCGTTGGGTGGTCTCGTTTGTAGGCTTGGTAAGAACCAATCTATCCTATTTTACTGTTTTTATTGTGTAATTTTAATTTGATTTTATTTATTCAACTATGTCTTCGGTTTCAAATTGGCTAAGGAGATCTAGGTCTAGAAATAGATCACAAAATCAAAATGAAAATAGTTCAAATGTTTTTCAAAATGAAGAAGAAGTTGACAATGCATCAAATTCATCTGCATCTG